GAAAGCACAAGACATTCTGCTGGCTGAGACAAAGGACAGTCTTCTTTCCCCAAGTATAAGAGCCAGCTGGACTAGCAGTTGGATCTTCCTTGACCTCTGGTTATGGGGCAGCATCTTTGACTGTGTATAAAATAGCAGTATAGCGTAGGAGTCATAAGGCAGGCTGTGTAGAAAACAGCTCTATCTTGGCTTCTAACATCTGGAGCCTGAGACTACTGCCTCCCTTTGCCTAATAATAGGGCCATCTCTGCTGCACTGATGTTTAAAATAGCTAACAACTGAGCGTAATGGTGTGGTCCTGAATAATAATAGTTTGTTTACTTCTTCAAACTCAGGGGCCAGTTCCTTGGCTTACTGTTGTTGTATATTCAATTATACTATTCTAAGTATATTCCAGACAATGTTTATCCAGGAGGGAGAGAGCAGAGGTCACTGTTTCAAAACAAACAGCTCATAGATAAGTGTTCTGCAGAAACCTGTCTTGTCTTGATTGTGTATTTCCCTATTGGCCACTGGGCCTTATCTTCTCTTTTGAGTTGTCACATTCTATTGCTTTGGGTATGATATATATTCTAATTGTCAGTAAGAAACAGGCATTGCAATCTTCTTGAAATGGCTCTTTATGGCTGTTGTGGATGGAAGCCATAACTTGAGGATGCATCATTTAGTTGCTAGCATATGAATAATTTATACTGGACATAATTCCTTTTTATGGGTCCTTTTCATTAGGGGAAATTCAGTAGAAAAAGCATACTCTTTCACTATTATTTGCCTTGAGGGTGGATTGTGCAGTCCTTATGTGGTCTAGGAATAAGCAAGGATTAAAGATTATTTTTCAAAAAGCTTTTTGAGGTTAGATCCTTAATTAACATAAGCAAATACAGTATATATCATAAAACATGTCCATTGGCACAATGTAACACAAGACACTGTGTGATCAAAAATGCACTCTGGTACTTGAAACTCTGTTTTCTCCTTGTTTCTTGAGGCACTTGCACATAATCCCAGAATGTTTCTGACAGAAGCCGATGTGTGAAAGAGAGGCAACAAGGGGGGAAAAGAAAAAGGGAAAAAAACATGAGAAAAGTCTACATTTGCAACTCTTAACTTATGTAGTTAGTAATAAGAATTGCATGCTGTCAAATCAATTCTGACTTTTGAAACCAAGGTTTTCTAGGTATAGAATACATAGAAATGTTTTTGTTGTTGTTGTTGTTGTTTAGTCGTTTAGTCATGTCCGACTCTTTGTGACCCCGTGGACCAGAGCATGCCAGGCCCTCCTGTCTTCCACTGCCTCCCGGAGTTGGGTTAAATTCATGTTGGTCGCTTCATTGACACTGTCCAACTATGTCGTCCTCTATCGTCCCCTTCTCCTCTTGGCTTCACACTTTCCGAACATCAGCGTCTTTTCCAGTGAGTCTTCTCTTCTCATGAGATGGCCAAAGTATTGGAGCCTCAGCTTCAGGATCTGTCCTTCCAGTGAGCACTCTCAGGGATGATTTCCTTCAGAATGGATAGGTTTGGTCTCCTTGCAGTCCAGGGAACTCTCAAGAGCCTCCTCCAACACCACAGTTCAAAAGCATCAATTCTTCGGCGGCCAGCTTTCTTTATGGTCCAGCTCTCACTTCCGTACATCACTACTGGAAAAACCATAGCTTTGACTATTCGGACTTTTGTTGGCAAGGTGATGCCTCTGCTTTTTAAGATGCTATCGAGGTTTGTCATCGTTTTCCTCCCAAGAAGCAGGCGTCTTTTAATTTCTTGGCTGCTATCACCATCTGCAGTGATCATGGAGCCCAAGAAAGTGAAATCTGTCACTGCTTCCATATCTTCCCCTTCTATTTGCCAGGAGGTGATGGGACCAGTGGACATGATCTTAGTTTTTTTAATGTTGAGCTTCAGTCCATTTTTTGCACTCTCCTCTTTTACCCTCATTACAAGGTTCCTTAATTCCTCCTCACTTTCTGCCATCAGAGTGGTATCATCTGCATATCGGAGGTTGTTGATATTTCCTCCGGCAGTCTTAATTCCGCCTTGGGATTCCTTCAGTCCAACCTTTCGCATGAAGTGCTTTACCATTCCCTTTTTCTGGGGGTGCTCTGGGGATGTGCAGCTTGGCCAATGCAAGCCCCGTCAGAACGCGTTGGGGCCAGAAAAAAAAACCAAACCCAAAAAAACACAGCCAGCCCCATCGGAACACAATGGGGCTGGGAAAAACACACAAAAACAACCCCCCCCACACACACACCCAGCCAGCCCCATTGGAACATGATGGCGCTGGGGAAAAATACACAGAAACACTCACACACACACACACAAAGCCAGCCCCCATCAGAAAGCGATGGGGCTGGAGGAAAAGAAAACACCAAAAGACAAAAAACATCACAGCACAGAACCATAACCCCCCCACACAAAAAAGAACCAAACTGCCCTGCAAAACAAAGTACATGTACTTACTCAGGAGCAGAAAGCAGCTCCAGGCAATCCAAAGCTTCCTCCGATCGCACTCACTTAACCGTTGGGGCGAAAGAGCTACAAAGAAGCAGCCTTTTCGCCTACCAATGGTTAGCAAATTTGAATTCTCTGCCTTTTTTCCCTGCCTTTTTCCAGTCACAACGCGAAGCTCCAACCACAAATCGAAGCAAAATTGTGCAGCCGGAGCTGGTCGCAACTTGAAATGGTTGTATGGCGGGACGTTCGTAAGTCGAGGCACCACTGTACACTGGCTCTTCTCCTGGGATGCGGGATGCACTGGAGGGAACTGAACTCCTGGCCTCTGCGACTGACTGAGCTATTTTTATCCAGATCATGGGGTAGATGGCGCTCTCCCACTACCTTCAAACTCCATTCTTATTGGTCACAAAATTACATAAAGGTAGGTTAGGCTACAAGACTAGGCCTAAGCCACATGTAAGCATAATGACTGAGCAGCTGTTAGAGTCTGAATGATCACCACCCCTAGATAGACAAGCATGTAAATTGTACAGTACGGTGAATCATGACATCTATGGCTGTGGCCCACTCTCATTTTTGAAACGTATTAATGTATTTGGGTGTTTGTGTTTTTGTTTCTGAAGGTATACATTCTAAAACCTGCAAAGAGGCAATGATAATTCCTGTAAAAACATTTTAAGATAATATTGGTTGAGAAAGTCTAAGAGATAGCACTGACATTTCTATAGAGGGTTATAGTGATCCCACTATCACAGTTGGGTCACTTCCTGGTCATGTGGTAGATTTATGGTATCTATTCCCATTGAAGAATGAGAGACTCATTAAGATTATCTGCTCTCAGAGATGTAGAGAATTCAGTGGCTTTGGGGAATTTCCTAGCAGCTAGAGCTAATAATTCCATTGAGAATCCAGTCGTGGTGTGGAATTGTACACTGTGAGAGACCATTGACACATTTGCTCCTGAATAGCCTCTCTAATAGAAACAGAATTCTGTTTCAGAATTCTAAGCAATGAAACAGAAAAGATAATGGCTAGAACACAAGATTTGATGTGAGGCTAATCAGGCAAGCCTTAGGATACACAATCTTGCCTACTTACATGACCAGGAGAGCTGTGAAGAAGCCATACTTTGCAGTCATCATCACATCCTCTCTTGTCCAATTTTGAGGGAACTGCTTTGCCTTCTGCGGCTTCAGGCAAGATTATTAAAGCAGTTCAACCTACCACATCTTTTCTTAACTATTGCCCATCAAGGCTTCTGTAGATGACCCTAAGTTTTTTTTTTATTGGGTGGTTCCAGCAAGAGATGGATGAATAATGGGACAGAAGTGTGATTCCTACCATTCTTAAGGAGGCAGTGGTGCAGCCATTGTTGAAGAAGAAAAATCCTCACTGATACTATTTGTTTCCTTGATCGGCAATTTATAATACTCCCTGGAAGCACTACTTAGGTTGAGATAAAGATGTTGGGAGGATGCAGGGCAGGAAGACTCCCCCAGCACATTTGGTTTTCCTGGACTTTACCCACACCAAGACAATCAGGGTAGCATGGTTGCATGGTTAGTGTGAGGTCCCTGGTCTGGGGAGTTCAATTCTGTTATGTTGACATTGTCCTCGTGTGGTACATCAGGCCTCAGTGTTGGCATGCTATGGGTAATGGCTGAAAATATATATTTTACCTCAACAGTCCCACAGCTGTGAGCCATTTTCAACACCTAAGTGTATGATGTTATTGTGCTTTCATTGGGCTGTCCTATCATTTTACAGCAGTGTTGTAAACTGTTTCAGAATCTGAGAAATAAACAAACAACTGAATAGCACCCACAGGATTATACTCATGATTACTGATTCTTGAGGCACTTGGTAAAGAATACCATGCCGCCACATTCACAATATGGGTGAATAATCTGTAAATAAACTGTTGTTATGTAATCCAAAGTCAAGTACAAGGCAACCCAGAGCTTTTTAAACGCAGCATAATAAAGTGAGCTTTATAGTCTGCCTTTGTGGCTTATTTACGTTCCAACAAATTTTTTTTCTAGAGGAGAAGAGTGAAATGTGTGCGCTGCATTCAAGCATAGAAAATTAGCCTTAAATAAAAGCCAGCCTCCAGACATATTTTCAGTCTTTTTCTTCCTACTTGTGGAAAAATATTGTGCAGAGCTGCCTGAAGAGTCATGCCAGAACGCTGTATAGAACCTTGTTAATAATTCTCACAAATTATCAACATCCCTGTAGAACCTGAATCAGTAGATAAAGTTCAACCAACAACACAGAGCAGAAAGTATACTGTGGTGTTTTCCTGTTTGGAGATATAGGGTTCAAATATTACTTTTCTTGCAATACAACTTCCAGTATCCTCGGGCAGGTTCTGAGAGCTGCAGTCCAAAATGTAACATTTGCAAGCTCTACATCACACTTCTGCCTCCATATAGAGGCCAAGAAAAATGTTTCCATATAACAATTTTACATACAGATGCTCTAATATTTGAAATGTCATAATTGAGTGATTGATTGATTGATTGATTGAATTTGGCTTACCACACCTATTAGAGTAACTGTACTCTGGACAGTTAATGGCTGTAACCCATTGGTGTGCAATTCAGAAGTGGTTGCTGAATTTGGTCGAAGTGCTGTAACCTCATGTAAAGGATAAAAATGCAGCACAACCTGAGAGAAGACCGCAAGAGGTGCATTTCCCATGAAAATCTTGCAAAACGTGGTCCTTGGTTTTAGAGATTGTTTGTCCTCATCTGCAAAATAGGGAAATGGTTTTTAATAGATTGAAAAAGAACTAGGAAGAGAAGGGAAATTTGTATTTGTCTAAGCTGGGATACTGTTAATCTGTACTGTTTTCCTTTGGTGAGATACACGGCCTCATTTGTACTATGTGACAATTCACCATGGATCATTATATTCACTTAGAATTTGATTAGGACAGATGTCTCCCGTGGCATGCAATGAAAGCTTCAGGAATCCACAGTCTTGCCTCAGCAACAGAGATGCTGGCCCACACCAAATCGTTGTCATTGAGAGTACAAATAATACCAGGGCTATATATGCCCACAGTGATATTGAAAACCAGCCAGAACCTAATGGGCTACATGGTATTATGATATTATCATATCCATTATGTGCTCTTTGACAGCATGGACCACACAGTGAATAAGAAAGCCCTGAAGACAGTGTTGAGGATAAAGTGCATTGTGATCGCAAGCAAATATGTAAATATCTAAAGCTAAAAGGGACGTGGTGGCGCTGTGGGCTAAACCGCAGAAGCCTGTGCTGCAGGGTCAGAAGACCAAGCAGTCGTAAGATCGAATCCATGCGACGGAGTGAGCGCCCGTTGCTTGTCCCAGCTCCTGCCAACCTAGCGGTTCGAAAGCATGCAAATGCGAGTAGATAAATAGGTACCATCTCGGTGGGAAGGTAAACAGCGTTCCGTGTCTAAATCACACTGGCCATGTGACCACGGAAAGATTGTCTTCGGACAAAACGCTGGCTCTATGGCTTGAAGAGCGGGAAGAGCGCCGCCCCCTAGAGTCGGACATGACTGGACAAAAATTGTCAAGGGGAACCTTTACCTTTACCTTAAAGCTTTACTAAGGTAGCAGCATGTTTGTGCTCCCAGAGGCCCACTTTCTGCTTTGTAAATCTTCATACACAAAAGTCTGTCACTCTACTAAATAAAATAGTAAACAGATTTTATTTCATGTAGACAAATGCGCTTGAATGGGATGTTCATCATTGATTGCTTATCACATGGAAATAAAGAGCAGACTTCTCTTTTCCTTTCTGTTTTTTAATCCCTTGATTTACATCATACAGTATTATGCATTTATGATTGGGAGTAAGGAAGCTGGTTTACAGGAAGGAATTACAGTCTACATACTAAAGTCAGGGCAGGCCTTGGTCAGTTCAAACACTAAGAAAAAGCCATTTAAAAGTTATTTTAGAAATAAATGCTTAGCCTTAAAATTTTGGTCATACTGTGTGGAACCTTCCCCTATTCACAGAGCGTAATTTATCCCATGTTTTAAAAAAGGAATTGCCTATTCCAGTTGCAGTTTCTTAAATTTAAGGCATAATGTTGAGTGTCAAATAAAGAAGGGAAGCAGCAGTTGGTGGCTAGCCGCAGCAGAGGAAAAAAGAATGTGGAGATTCAATAATGTTTCTGTACTAATCATTGTGCCACTAGATGCCTTCCCTATGGGACTGTGCACAGTAACTCAGCACAACACTGTAGTGGGTAGACATAATTGCAGATCGCCCGCTGGACTCTGCCTTGTGCAGCATAATCTGTTTATTTAACAGCCATGAATCTACTTGCTCTGCAGAGATCCAGGAAAGCCTTAATAATAAGATGTGTATTCCCCACCCCCATGCCTACCCCACATTCCAAATGTCTCTGTTATAATTAATACTGCATTGACAACATGTGTTACCAGCTGTTTATTAAATGCCATATTTTACCATGTTTTCATGGTATTAGAAAGCATGCCACAAACAGTACTTACAACCTGCTACTTTCATTCAACTATATGACATGCTTGAAATGAGAGAAATTAAATGTATAGTTTCCTTTTTGTTTGGAGTGTGAATACAAATATTGTAAGCTATCATACTTTCTAAACATAAATGGGGCATTTATAAAGCATCTCTCATTTTGAGTATGTATGAAAATCCTCATATTGAAAAACAGAAAGAAGCCAGTTTTCAATAAATGGTTTTGCTGAAGTTGCTGCCTTGTTTATGGGCTTTCGATTTAAAGTCCCAAATGCAATTATTAATTCCAATGAATCTATGTCAACACAATATATCAAAATTCATGTAAGTCTTAGTTTGAAGTTAACAGTTGGATTTAGGCCAAAATTGACCATTTTTAAAGCACAGCTTGATTTCATAGACCTAGTTTTAGGCACAACATCCAGTTTAATATACTAAAATTTAATCCTCGGTGACCCTCCTGTGTGGATCTCTTAGATATGCCAAAATCCAAATGTATTTCTGTTCATATACATTTGCCCAGCAGGCACAAGATCTTCCACACAGATTGGAGTATCATGTGATTCACAACAACCAGATTTAGTCAGCTGGATGCTTGTGGTTCCACCCCACTATATATAACACCTACACATGTGTCTCTCTGTGTGTGTTTGTGTGTATGTATAGTGACAAGCATGCATATGCTGTTGTAATAACATGTATGCAATGCCATTAACATCTGTAGCAGTATGTACATACCTGCCCCTGTCTCATCTCGCCCTTCGACAATGGAACCCTGAAGTAGGGTTGGACCTAACCTTGGTTTTCTATGCCAGCTTTCTCCAAACTGATGTTTCCAGATGTGTTGACTACAACTCCCAGAATTCCCCAGCCATCAGCATATAGTCCAGCTATGAAATCAGTAGGAGAGTGATTCCTCCTTACCATCCAGACATCCTCAGAATAGATTACGTTTAACTGCAAAAAAAACCAGAGCAGATCTGCAGGATGTACAAAAGGCAGGGAAGAGAGGAGAAGGGAAGAAAACTCTAACTGCAATAGCAGTTTTTCAATGGCACACCATTTGATTGAGCTTCCACTTCCTCAGTTATCTTTTCATTTGTTTAGACAAAAATTTGTCATGCAACACTTTGGCTTGCTTCAACACAAATATTGGTTTTCATGGGATGAATGGAAAGTGTGAGAGCACTGCACAAGGTTACTGACTCAGAAACAGCTTGCCAGGATCCTGACATGGTGAATGCCCTTGTTAGCACTGCCTGTGTGCAAGCTTGCTCCCCACTGGCTCAATCTGCACATTTGTAAATAAACAACAGAAGCCACCATAGACCCCCAATGCTCTTTCTTTTCCTATGATATCTGTCCATAGTAAAGCTTGTTCCTAAATCTTGATACTTCCTCCTGCTTGAGGAAAGGGGGAGCACAAACCCAAGTGAATAACCATTTGTAGAGTTGTGACCTCCTGCCAGAAATATTTTGTCCCAGAATACAAGGGTGATATAGACAATACTATTGTCTACTATGCAATGATGAATGGCATAGCTAGAGAGAAAGAAAAAAAGGTGCTCGCCCAGTCTTTTCCTTGTGCCCATTTGATGAGTGGTAGGGAACAGGAACCCACTGGAGAACCTTCCTTTATGTTGCATACTCCACTGCCATCATCCAGTACAATTTCTGAAAAGTGAACCAAAGCCTATGTTGCTCTGTCTGTTTCCCATGTTTATGCTTAATAAATGGGTGAGCATGGGAGTGGGACAGTCAAAGGACGTGACTGGGTCCAGAGCCATTGTCCTAGACACTTCTCTCTTAATCAGTACATAGGCATTGCAGTTTACATAATTATAACATTCTCAGCCAAGAACAATCACTGTCTCTGAGCCATTATTTCGAGTTCAAGCCAGACTTCACAAATCATATGAAGGATTAGATGTCAGGAGGCCATTTGGTATCACTGTTAGTGAGAGCATCCAGTCATTATATCCCCTTTTATTTTCTCACTAAAACTGTCCTAAAGGAATACACATATAGCTCTCTCTATCCATCTCTTGTTGCAATTATATTTCTTCCACTGTCTTCCAAGGTAAGAGCTTTCTAAAGAACAGGCACTCCTGATTTTTAACTGTGTTATTGTGCAGATATTTGTGCACCCTTCAAACAGCACATTTTCTATGCTAAAAGTCAAATCTTACCAAGAACGTACACTTGGAAGCACTAAATGCACACAACATTGTGTTAATGACTATCACATAATTATCCTTCTGACTACATGATAGGAACAGATGATGCTTACCATACTGTGCTGCCCTTGACAGCATTTCTCAATATTTTTCTGCCTTTGCATTCTAAAATTTGAAAGAATATTTCAGGGGATCTAGATATTTCATCTCTTGGTTGTTTAATCTGTGACTAGCCGAATAGAGAATATAACTTGTGAGGCTGTGTGTAAAGAGAAGACAATTTCCCAGAGGGAGCAGCCCGCAGGTAGACAAGATCTTAGCAAAAGGTAGATAATGAAAACCCTATTCCTGCTCAGCCGGGGATAAAAGTGCTGTTTCTTTACCTTGTCTGGTTAGGCTGTTGCTGCTTCAGATAATACACAGGCAATATTAGGTTAGGTACAGACCAGCTTTAATATCAGCTTACATTTCTAAGTAAACATCTGCAAGAAAGCAAATTGCATATATAAATGATCCAGGTTTTACCTGGCCTTTTAAAAGGCACTCAATTAACACATTCAGGAAGTAAATATTGTGGTTTTAGAAAATACAGGTGCAAATGTAAATGTCCCGTGGTATTTTGTGCCTAGTAGTAGTTATGGCAATGATAATATCAACCAACTACACTGGTGTTTAATTTCCATGTTTGAAAAAGGAAGGTAACAAATGCAGCATTCACAGCTTGATTTTTTGGAATGTGCATACATAACTGACATGAACAGAGCCTGGGGACTAAGAACAGGACTTGTTAAAACAACAAATATGCAAGGCCCACTGATTTAATCAGTCTGTTCTACTTCGTAGAATGATAGAATCATAAGAGTAGAAAGGACAAAGGATCATCAAGTGCTGTTAACACCTCCAAAGCAGAAAATACTCATCTAAGCTATCCATGACAGATGGAAATCCAACCTCTGTTTAAAAACCTGGAAAGAAGGAGAATCCACCACCATCTCAGGTAGTCCACTCCTCCATTGTCTAATGTCCTACTTTATCAGTAAGATGTTCATGTTGGTAACAACAAACTAACAACTCAACTGACGAGAACTGACTTCAACAGACTAGAGGGCAAAAGGACTGTCAGCAGGGAGGTGGGTGTAGCGGAACTCCCACATCATGCCTGTCCCTCATTGGAAGCTCAAGGAGAAGAGCCAATGAGAAAACAGGACAGGCGGAACGAAGAGGGGAGTTGAAGAGACAGACAGTTAGAGAGAGACAGTTGGGGACGTGGAATAGCAGTTAGGGCTTAGGAGAGAGAAGAGAAGAGTTAGGGAATTGAACTGAGAGAGTTAGGAGAGTGATTTGAAAAGGTTAATATATATTAAACAAGTGGGAATGATATTGTAAGTACTATAAGATAGATGTTGATTAAAAGTATATAGTAGTTTGGAATAAAAGTACTTGCAACCAAATACATAATAAAATCCTTGTTTGTACCTGATACAGTTCCTACGTGATTTACCTTTGTGATTTACTTGGCAATAAAAGAATACAGTATTTGTTAATTAAACCTCTGATTCCTAAGTTCATTAAATCTTAGCTTTGGCAGCACACATGTATAACACACATCATCGGTATTAGAAGGATACCTGATGGCAGCTAGAAGATTTCAACAGTGCCGTGGAGACAAAGTCCACCAGCTCCGGTAAGGAAATGGCTGGGTCACAGGCAGCATGGTAACCCAGCAAGATCCCAATACCATCCCTGGCCCCAGTCGACACATGAAGAGCCTCAAGAAGAGCCAGCGTTACCACTGTGGAGTGCCTAACAACTTATAGAGATTTTATAGACAATGGCTACTCCCCCCAACCGCCCCTCCAGCCTACCCTAGTGTTGGACTGCATAACCTGGAGGACAGGCAATAGTGAAGGGAACACCCCCTTCCCCGCCCATCCAGGTCTCATTTATGCATGCCAAGTCTCAGTTATGCGTGCATCCTCTTCCAGAATAAGATCTTGAATGAGCTGAGATTTGTTGGATACATACCTGGCATTCTGTATCTGTAACTAATGATTGAGAATACCATAATTTGAATTATTTTGGTCTCCAGCAAACACATCTTTACACTTCAGGATCTTTTCTGATTTCTTCATAGCTACCCTTCCAGGATTCAGCCTACTTCCAATGTTTTGACTGCTACTGAATCAAAGCATAGAAAATCTGTAGCAATTTCTACTTCTTCATTGTCAGGAAATGTCAAATCAGAGAACTGATGCATGACCCTCACTAGGCGTCCTACAGAAATGTATAGACCTCCTGGGGAAAAATCGAAAGCCTGTATTCATAACAGCTGCCATTTATCCCAATAACAGGTTGACTCCAGAATGAAACAATTACTAATAATCATATCAACATTCCTCTGACTATCAAAGTGCAAATCTTTTGATCATTGCAGTATGTATGTTTTAATTACATTCTCTAAAAAAAAAAACCCTCCAGTTTCTGAATGCGGGATGTTGTGCTTCTGTATCCACAATTAAAAACACCAGGAAATGGCCTCATATTGCTGCACAATATCATGCCTCTGTTGCCAGCAGGGAAAATGATGCCAAGTTTTAAATAGCAGGGGGCAGCCTGAATATTGATAACACCAATGGCAGATGCTCTACAGCAGGGGTCCTCAATTGTCTGGGACATGGGGCTGCATTAGAAGGCCATGTCTTAAATCAAAATGTAATGAAATTGGTAACCTACAATTTAGATTTAAAAAATAAACATTCACAGGTCAATGAAGAAATGTTAATTTGAACACAGTCGATTTTCGAACAATATTTTACTGTGGAATCTTTTTATCTAGCTATATATGCTTACATAGTGAATGTGATTTTTTGTGGCTGTTTTCTACTAATGCATTTATGTCCAAATCAGGGTTTGTGATAGACACCCTTAAAATATCATGTAAATGTTAATCTGAAAGTCTTGACAGACACTTGAATTTCACAATGTTCATCTTGGAAAAGGTTTGTTCAAATATGTATATGGTGTCAAAGATGGGACATGCCTGCAGCAAATGTCCTTCAGCTGATAAATATATTGGGTAGACCAAAATAGAATTCTAACAGACTATTTTCTTTGTCAGTGTTTCTGAGATGATCACTGACTTGCAAATCAATTAGTTCCATCTGAAAAGAAGTTACTTGCTTGTTCTGGTGCTGCTTCAAATGGATTCTGAAACATGCTTATTTCCTTTCCATACTTATGGCAGTCAGTAAATCTGTTCTGGAATTCAACCTGCATTAAGTTCCATGTTTCGACATGTCCTTCAACACTGAATTGTAAGTTCCCATCCTTCTCAAATTTTAGATCATTGCAGCATGAGAAGTTTGAAAAGTTACTTTCACTAACTTGCTTCACAAAAATGTTAAATTTTGCTTCAAAAGCTTTCAATTCAGAACACATATCACAAACAAGTTTTCCTTTTTCCTGCAACCTTAGATTCAATGTGTTCAAAAGTATCAGTCAATAAAACCAAATTAAAAATCCATCCAGGGTCAGAAAGTACTTCTTGACCTTTTCCTTTCTCCTTGAGAAAGACATCAACTTCATGAGAAAGACTGAAAAACTTTGCCTCTGCCAGGCCACCTGACCTCTACATGACATCAACTTCATGACAAAGACTGAAAAACTTTGCCTCTGCTAGGCCACCTGACCTCTACACGGTACCTCTACATCTCTGTATAGCAAATAAATATTCCTCCTCTTACAATGTTACCCTTTCTAGCACACAAATCTTTCATTGCTGCATGCATGAGACATTGGATATATAAGCACTGCCATGCTATCTCCAAAAGGACCAAGCACAAAACAAAAGCAGGTTAATTTGCCAAATGTAGATCCAGGGAAGCTTATGTTAGAAAAGATGGCCCTTGCCTCTTGAGGGAGCTGTCCTTCTAATGTAAATGTATTGTCTAGTTGGCTTTCATTGATATGTTTTCACCACCTGGACTCCTATTAGTATTCATGTAAAGTTTGTATAACTTGTCATGGCTAATTGTGGCTAATTGATGAAGAACTGGAACCATCTGCATCACACACCTGGTCATGCACCTAATGTGACAGCCAAGATGTACCATGGCATCCCATCAATTAGCTAGAATTAGCCACAACAACTTATGCAGTCCTTATGCAAACATCAATATGGCTTTGGCCAGGGAGAGTGAAATGTGGAACTGTACGTGCTCAGAACATATAATCAGAGCTCACAAACTGTTATTTGCTTGTCACTCTAGTATATCAAGAAGGTAGAAGCAAATGTAAAATATGAAAAGGGCAGAAGGGGGACGAACAGAAAAAAATAAATTATTTGTGTGTTTCACAATTAATCCAGAAGCTCTTTTATAAAATCATGAAAATGCTGCTTTGCCTAACAACCTTCTTCCCAAAATACCATCAAGTCTATATTACTGAGTTGCACCACTGAATAGCGTATCAAAAAAATGGCTTTGTTGAATTAGCTCCTTTACTGATGTATAACCAATTGTTCATAACGATAATATAGTCATCATCAAAATAACCACAGTAATTTTCAAGGTGGACTTCTGACTTGGAAATACATTTCTTTAAAATGACTTGGAGCCGTTTATTCACTTATTCAATATATTTATTAAAGAGGTCTGAGTATGTAAACTTAACAAAATAAGGTCAATAGAATGTCTCCCTTATCAGATTTAGAGATATCTGGCAACCTTCCAAATAGTGTGTCCTCTTGAAGAAATAAAACAATCTTTGCAAATTGATCTCCAGAGTATACTTAATATAGTAGCTTTATTAGATTTTGTCATATAGCCTTCACTAGTGAGCATCAGAATTCTAAATCAAGTTGGAGCTAAAATGTTTACATGTCTATTTTGTATGAACTGCACTCAGTGCTCAAAGTGAGAGGGGGAAATGGGATTATCTTAAATGATATCCATAGTGGACTGGACGAGTCCTTATCCCAGATAGGACTCCTATTCCTGATCAGGTGAAAGGCAGATCAGGGAATAAGGATTCAACTTCTGCTGGCTGCCTTGAAAATTCAGGTTCATTGCCAGAGTGTACTATTGGATTCAGTCTTGACCCCAGATGTCTAGATTTTGGTCGTAGCCAGAAGTGAATATGTATAATTAAAGTTACCGTAATTCGTGAGCTGCACCTGTTCCTGGAAATGTCCAGTCTGGCTATAGTGACATATGAATAAGTTACATCCTGTTTAGATTACAGTAACTCTTTATATTTCAGACTGCTTTCAAAGGTATTCAGAAAATTCATTTGACCAATGACTGGAACCAGTGCTGCACAGTGTATGACTTCCCAGTTATGCCTACTAGTCTGTTTCTGGATATTGTTCAAAATTTCATTATTATGGATAAAGTCCTATATTCAGGCTATCTGAAATACCATATTCCCCTCTTGATTGCTGTTGCTGTGAGTTCTTCAGGGGAAATGTTCTTCTTGACTCCACCACCCTCAGAGATATATTTTGTGAGAATGTGAAACACATTATTGCCCTGCTCTAAAAAACCCTAACAAGGGCAACACCTACACAGTTAACCACCTTGTATGAGTCTCATATCTTTGTCAGCCTTAATTAGCAAATGCCTCTTGGCCATACTTGATTTAAGTACAGGCTATCATCTCTTTCTCTAAGAACTGCACCTTTAAAGTCTCATATGACACATATTTGGAGGAGGAGAGTGAGGCAAGGACTCTCTCCACAGACATATGAAGTGGTCCTGTAACTATCAGCATAGATGGCATTGTGGGGAGACATGATGAAGAAAAGCTCTTCCGTCTGCTGTTTTCTGAGGAAATATTCAGCAGGATATTCAGCAACAAAGTATTAAACATTAAGAACTGTGATTGTGCTTGAACCATAAGTGTGGAGAGGATTGGAAAGGAGACATGTAGGTCCTGTCTCCTCATTCTTCTGTATCCAGAAGTCACCCAGATCTTCACATGCAAAGGTCTGAAGCATATCTTGTACACTCATTCAGCAGAACACATCGTATAGAACTCCCTTGATAGGAGCTCTGCCTTATCAAGCTGAACAGGGCTTTGATCTAACCAGAGTTTTGTTTGCCTGAAGAGATA